CAGCCTGATCAGCGAACTTTCAATTTTGACGCCGAATATTTAGTCCGTGGTTCGTACCACGGAGAAAAATGGAACCGCGCTGAGTACCAGAAGATGGACTCCAGCACATGGTCCCGGACGGCGATTTTGCTCCAACATTTCTTTCGCACTTGAGCGCAGCCATCCGGATGTGCCTAGCACAGTTTCGGCGGATGCGCCCAGGCGCGGAATCTATGTACCCAGATGCGGAAATTCATGCCCCTACGTACAGTTTTGCCTGTGGTCAGCGCGGGGAGGGGGCGGAGGCGTTATATTGGGAGGGGCGACCCCCCTCCCCCAGCCCTTACCCCTTGAGGAGGGGGAGGTTGCTTTGTTCTATTCTTTTGTTAACAGTGAGGATGAAAAAAAAAAACAAAAGAAAAGAAAAAACCTGAGCACATTTTAAATCTTTAAAAAATCTTAAAATTTCTTCACCATTTTATTTTTCTCCTCTAATGTTTTTGGTGTTACATATTACAAGTTATAATGAGGAGGAAAACATGCTCATCAACATGAAAATTTTGACATTTGAAGGACCTTGTTAACTTCTACTAGGTATTTTATTTTAAAAAAATTGAAAAATCACGGAGGAAAAATAGAAAAGTGGAACAAAAATTTAGAACGGAGCGAGTACCTAGGAGAAATGGGATAAAAAATTAGATACCTAGAAGTGAAAAAAAGATAATGTCGAAGAAACAGGCATGCTGCAAAAGCAGATCATTGGAAAGGAGACATGAAAGATGAAGGAACTCACCGAAACAGGATAATGCAGGCCTAATGAGGTCATATGTTGAGAAATCTTGTGGACTGAGACACTATTCAGGGCATGGGCATTTGAAATCTTTTGACAGGAATTCCATTTCACAAAACCAAACCATTGTAATGATTTCCACTTTACGGAGACATCACTGATTCTTGTGAATTAGGATACCTCGAAAACCGTCACTGAGTATTTGAGGTTATGCGCATTTTAAATCTTATTCACTGAAATGAGGTAATGAGACACAGGAACCTACTTTTAACTGAAACTGCCTAAAGCGGCTTAAATTTATGCTTAGCAGGTATTGTGTAAAGGCTTCATTTATAATCAGGACTCAAGAGTCTCAAAAAAATAAATGAGTTGTTTCTTTGTATCAAATTATCAATGCAAGTAACTAGTATATTTCACAGCGGAACTTATCGGTAGAACAAGGCACGAAAGGAGGAAGCACTAAGATATCCGAATTCTATTTTTCATCTCACACAATAAGAATGCAGAATCAGGCAGATAAAAGTACAGCACAAACTTTGATTGGAAGGTATATTTTGTTTAAATGAGCAAGCAAAACGTACCTTTCAACATAACATGTGCTGAGACATTGCATGTACAATATTAAATATATGTATGAATGAGTAGAAGACTAATTAGAATTTGTGTGAAAAGAAGAAAGAACTCACTGAAAATTCACTGGGTCAAGACAAAATGCTGAACTGAAACGCGATCAAACTTGGAGAGATCATAGGCACAGCTGGCACACCGCACACAAAAGCTTTGAATCTTT